ATTTGAACGCACATAATTTTGCACATGCGTAGTTCACTGGAATATTAAGGGGATAAATAAAATTTCACAAACTTACTTGGAAAATAAGTTTAAGAATTTCTGTAATAAGAAAATTTATTTGTGCTAAAAAAAACAAACTGCTTACGGAAGCAAAAGAACAATTAATTTGAATAATAAATCCTACGAAAAGTAAGTAACAAGTTATTAAAAAGTGAGAACTATAAATTAGTTAAAAAATGTATCCTAATATCATGTTTTATGTGTACTTTCGAATTATTCATGTTTATGCATTTCTGCCAAAAATCTCAACCGATAAAATTTTATTTAATCCAGGTGCTCTATCAACTATTCTTAGGATAGTTATTTAAATAACTTGATCGCATTTAAAAATATATGATTTGTGATACATACACAGTATATTCGTGCTTACATATTTTCGTTATCAGGCGACTATCAATTGTCCTAATATTAGAAGTCTCCAGTAATCACAAAATTTTTTCAATAAACATATTAAGAAGTTTTTTATTTAACAGTTAAACTTATAATATAATGTGCAAATAATGAAGTTACGGATATGTTTTGAATCTCCAAGAGGAGTGAGAATATTGCAATTATATGTGTTTCTGTTATACAGTTTCTGATGATTTCTTAAAGACTATACCATTTATGGGATGTGTTTTAAAATTTTAAAATAATCACTGAAGCAATGAGAGTGTTCAGAATAAGGACCAGTGTCCTTTGTAATTATAATTTTTAATGTAATTTTAAATTTTCTTTAATAAATTTTAATATAAAGTATTATATATATGAGACATATTAATGTTTACATGTTCCTACATGAGTTTAACAATTTTTTAAAAAAACAATAAAAGAAAATTTTGATTTATCTATAAAAAACAGTGATAGATAGATTACAAATATCTTGATACTTTCACACTATCAAGATATTGCAAGTACCGTAAAGTGTATCAAAGTAAATAAACGACGATTTGGCTTATCCTATATTACTATACATAATATAATATTACGTATTACGAAAAATAACTAATTAAACAATTAAAAACTATGACAATCTCCGTTTTTCTCGCTTTCTTTTAAAATATGCTCGTAGAGCAATTGATGATGTAGGGTAGGGCTGTCCAAACCAGATGCTATCGAGGGCTAATACAAATCCCTGTATAGAATGGGGGAACGCAAAAACAAATACATACGTTCATAGTTGTTTTGGACAAAAATAAAAACACGGTTATAATGTTAAATTTAGTTTTATGAATTTATTAATTTAAATTCATTTAGTTGGTATACGATAGAAATAAAATAATGTAATTTAACCAATACACCAAAACAAATATTAGAAGATATTAGAAAGACTTCTGAGGCAGCGAAAGAAGAAATTATTTAAAGAAATATTTTTATTTAAAGAAATATTCATTTGGCAAAAAACTCGATCTTATTAATTGCAGAATTTTATAAAATTTTTCTTACTATGTTTTAAACATTCCAGCCACTAGAAACATCATGAATCCAGGACTTAAATCAAATATCTTTTGACACTATATCGTCTTAGATCTTTACAGTCAACAGATTTAACAGATATGAATTCATAATGAAAGCGGTTTTAAAAATACCTATATGCTTATAATCCAAAGTTATAGAAATTAATGTTCTCAAATTAGTAAAGGAATTGTACAATTTATTACGGGCAATATATTAAAAGTACATATGTATATATTAAATTATGTATATTATATATATATATTATAAAGATGTTTTCGAACAGAAGTGAAACAACAACAAAAATTTATTTTTTTTAAATTATTAATTGAATTTTTGGCTGACCATACAGCTGTTTCCAGTATTGCCAAATACCCTTCATCAGTGGTCTTGGAAATAATTCTTATATTTAATTATTCGTAAATTATTATTTTTGAGACTGCAAGTACCAGGAATCGAACTCGGGTCCTGCCAAATATGAAGCTCAGAATCAGCGCACCTTAACCAACTGATCCAAAGCCGTACTTGACTTTTTATGTTCACATATTTTTGCTGGAGTTTTGTTACTTTTGCTATGAAAGTTTTTATTAACAATTTTACTTGCTGTGTTTATATTAGAACGACATCATAAACCAGCTGTAGAATAATTGAATTAATTAATTAATTATATTTTTTATTTTTAATTGTTAAATTTCGAAACTATTCTATTCGTAGAAGCATTATTTGTTGCATGATTTGTTCTTTCTTATGTATAGAACCTAATCTAGGAACGTAATGCTGAGAAAGTCATGCTAATGTTATTCCACTAGTCGCACGGGCGATAACCAATATTTATTGGCGAGAACCATATTTTTGTGAATAAGTTGTAATTTAACGTCAAATTTTCCAGATATATTATATAATTATATATATTATATATATTATTATTATATGTAATAAAATACATATTAAAAAATCTTGTAAGTAATTTTAAAAGCAAGTCATCAAGATTTATACCATATAGGTATAATATTGTGCCCTTAATCATTTCCAGATGCATAAACTTATACTGATTAGGAGCTAACAAATTATCATAAAAATTTAGTATTTTAGTGTAGAGGAAAAAAAAACAAATCTATTTTCAATAATATATAAAATACCGAAATAACGAAGGGCGCGATAATTCTAATTTTACATAAATATCAAATGAAATTGGGTCTCGCACCTACGCGAACACACTAAGTTTATATTGAACTTGCTTTTACATGTACTCGTGTTCTATTAAAATGGTTCTAAAAAAGTAATATTTGTAAAACTGATAGAACTCAGTTTGCATAAAATTTAAGGAGGAACTTTGATTAAAGTAAAGAGAAAAAAACAACAGACTTTCGTACTAAAATGCCATACTTCCACCTTCATAAATAAATATAATATGGAAACCAGGCTAGATGCACATTTTATAAACACAAATAAACATAAGGTCATTATATCGGCTACTGGATTACTCTGTAACCTTTCCAATAAACCATACAATATAAACTGGAACACTTTGAATAAAAAAAAACAAATAGCAACGTTAACCAATCTATAAAATTAACACAACTAACTCCAATTATTTAGCACAATGGGCCTATAGGCCTAAGTGGATCCCCCTAGGATCACAATGGGTGGTCCAATAATTACGCAAATCGTTTGGCTGTTTATTTTAAGTTTTTTCTCATGAGTATCTGCAAGTCTTATTCAATTACTATTATTATTATTCATAAATTACTATTTATTCATAAATGTTGTGACGAGTTTTCGAAATAATTAATTAAGTCAAATCATTTGCGAAATTAATGTTTGGTAGACATAGTAAACTAGTACGAACTAGTAGCACGTACAGCAGACCACTACCGACATTATCTTGTAATACAACTACTAATATCTTAAGATACAATTACTGGTAACCTTTTTAACTTTACTCACATTTCCGAATGTACTTTCCTTTTCAATGTCAGGCTCGAGAGTTATAAAATTGTCTTGAATTTATATAGCAAAAATGCAGAAGTGTGGAAAAAATAACATACTTAAACATTCACAAAGTGAAAAATGTACACTAATACCTCGATTCATGATATACCGATTGGCATCGACCCGATTTCCGTCGTCCCGATTTGCGTCGTCCCGATTTGCGTTGATTCGAATTGCGTCGCTAAAAAAATTAGTTTTGGCTTCGACTTGCGTCATTTTTTAATACATGAGTACAGAGGGGATTCCCATTTTATTTCTTGTAGGTCACATTTTTTAAAAGAGGATAGTGTTAAAAAGTGTCAGTTTACATTTGTGTGGTGTAGTGGAAAAGTAAATTTCTGCTTTATAAAGTATAAAAATGAGTCAAAAACGAAAACAAATTTCCTTGGAACAAAAGTTAAACATTTTGAATCGTTTCAAACTTGGAGGAAAACCTGCTGGCATTGAGAGAATTCTGGGCTTAGTTCCAACTACTGTAAGAACAATTTGTTGTCGTGATGCAGAAATGGAGTCCCATCTATCCATTTGGAGAGAAAATCAGAATCAAAGCAGAATGCCATTGAGTCAAATGTTAATTCAGAATAAGACTGATATTCAATGAATTAGAAGGTAATTTTCCATCAAGTGCTCAAAAATCAGAATATTTTTGTAAATTTAGTATGTTTCGAATTTTGTCGGTCCCAATTAACGACGCCAATCGAAGTATTAGTGTATTGGTTACATAACTAGTTAGAAAATATAATGGATACCGCCTTGAGACAGAAATACATTTAAAATTCTTTAAAATTTGTATGTTTTTAAAGAAATGGTTAATATAAGGCGAAGAAATGACAATGTACTTTCTTATTACAGTACAAATGGATTTCTTGATAATTAAAAAAGTTTTAATATCAGAAAAATTTATTTATAAAGTATATTAACTTTTCCAAATTTATTTTAAGTTTTCATATTTATTCGAAACATAAAATATTTATTTAGTATCAGAGGGTTAACAGAGGTTAACCCTCTTCCATATATCTAAAATACATCTGATTCCTCTATTAACGAACTTCTCACAACGAAACTGTCACTGGTTATTAGAAAAGTAGAAGATAAAATATATAAAAATAATATTATATACATAGTAACTATTCACATTTCACTTCACAGTAATCATATGCATAGTAAGTAATGAATATATTGTAATAAATTGTGTTCGAATGGGTACTACACTGCTACGTCAACTGGTAGTGTAGTACTAGAAAACCAATCTAGGTATATATGTTGCCAAATTGATTTTATTTTCTTACATTTGCTATATGTGTAGATTTCTGTTTTACTTTACTACTTAAAATTTCTCTTGTGAGAAGTGCATTATTATGTATTGTATAATATTCTATATATTCTCATACCTATATAATATTTTGATTAATTAGATTTTATGAATTATTAATACTATTACTGAACAATAAGAAAAAATTATTGTTAAGCTCAAAATATGTTTGATTCATTAAATACTTTTTTTACAGATGATTACGAATTTAATCCTAAATCCATATTGTACAAGGATAATGCTTTTATTTCTAGGCATAGCGTTTTTCATACCACAAATAGGTAAATAGATAAAAATCATATATGTACTACATTAGTTATAAAACATTTTGTTATAAACTAGTACTTAAAATTTTTGTATATCTTTGTTAATATAACATAATTTAATTTATTACTTTAACTTTACAAAATTCTGTCTTGTATAGCAACTCTACCTAATGGATCTTTTATGATGTCTGAAAATGATTCTCCCACAACTGCTCCTAAATTTTTATCTCGCGGCCACCTATATAAGGTCATTGTAGGTGAAACGATTGAGTTACCATGCAAAGTACAAAATCTGGGTTCATTTGTGCTTTTATGGAGGAAAGGATCTTCTGTATTAACCGCCGGTCATCTTAAAATAACTAGAGATGCAAGATTTAAAATAGTTGGTGACTATAATTTGCAAATCAATGGAGTAAAAACTCAAGATGCAGGAGATTATATATGCCAATTAGGAGATCAAGAAAATAGAGATCAAGTACATACAGTGGAAATTTTAGGTAGATTTAGTTTAAATTTTCTCGTAAATATTCTTATATTAAATAAATTGTTTAGTGCCACCAACTTTAAGGGCACTACCACACAATGGGCAAGTTACCGCTCGCAAAGGTAGTACAGTAACATTAGAATGTAAAGCATCGGGAAATCCAGTACCTACAATATATTGGTTTAAAAAAGATGTGTTCTCTGGCCCCACGCATTTATCTGATAGTTCCACTTTAATTTTGGAAAACGTTGATAGACATCATGCGGGTATATACCAATGTTCTGCAGATAATGGAGTCAAGGAACGAGTTTCAATGGATATACAATTAACAATTTTATGTAAGTACAAAATTCTTAAGAAGCTAAGATTGACCTTTAGATGAACAGTCATAAAATAATAAAGTTAGGTTAAAAAAAATTGTTTTAAAAGATCTAGCAATTAATCATGTATCAGCTTATGTTACAAAATGGATCTAAATTTAAACATATCCACTACATTTCAGAAGTAATATAAACCCAAATTTAGCGAAAAATACTCGTACTGACAAATGTACAAGTTTTCTATACGAAAGCATATTTATTTCCTGGTCAGCTTTAACAACCGCATAATAATAACGTTCGCTGAAGAGCAATAACTTATTGTTATTGTTAACGCGATTCTATAATATTTTTCACACCTCAATCCCTAATTTTATTCTTGTTAGGACTTAACATCGCAAAATAATCCAAATGTTTCCCCGAATAAAATACACTGCTTAAGGTTTATAGAATTTAACAAGGTGAGGCTGAAAATACTTCAGATCAAACACTATTCCACGATAAATGAGGAATTGTTTTCAATAACAATGCAATAATGTTTTGACTATTTCGCAAAGTTAAATGCTGACTAGAATTATCTAACTAAAAACCGAATAACTGTCAAAATGGTGACTTCAAAAATAAAGTTACGGGGCCATATGTAGGGTGATGTTTTGAGAAAAGTCAAAATAACGGTTTTTTTTTCAAATAACTCGAAAACGGTACACAGGAAAAAAACTCGTTGTGATTTTCGAGTTCTACGGAAAATTTCCCTATAGGAAATATAAGTCTCGTCTTTGGAAATTTTTGGCTGTAAACTAGTGTTATTTATTCTATTATTTTTTATGTATTTTTGGGATTTTAGGACTGATTCGATAACACAGCAGAAAGTTTTGGGACAAGAAAAGATAATTGGATGCCAGATCAGGACAATATAAATGATGATCCATGAAATTAAGTTGTTTGTAGATCACTCATTTTTGTGTTGGAAAATTATCCGTTTTTGACGTTGGTTTTTCTCAATTTTACAAACAATCTTGTTAAACAAAAGATGGTGTACCATTCAAAATTCATCATTCTGCATTGTTTTAATGGTACTATTAACACATAATCAGTTTATTTTAAAAAAGAATACACCATTTGCTTCAAAGTAATATGAGTGTAAATAAATTTTATTGACATGAATTCAACGTGACATAAATTTGAAATTTTAATTTATCACAATTTTAGATAGATTTTTTAAAGTACCGACTGCAGTTCTTGAGTTCTTGTTTGGTTGAGCTTTCGTCAAATTATGTGAGATCCAACGAGAAGAATATTTTATCACGGTTATATGATCATGTTATATTAGTATCTAAAGTTAACTTAAACCTAAAGTTGTTAGCATCTAAAATTGTTAGATGACTACATTACAATATCAGCTTTTGTACAGGAGTAATATTTTCTTGCAAAACAACTGATTTTGGATAAGAACATTATCAAGCGTAATGTATTAGCGTTTCGTAATGGCAAAAGATGGGTCTTTATCCTCAGACCCATCCTTCCTTAGAGTCCTTAACTTAATTAAAGCTTATAGAAAGTGTATTGACGTACTGAACTGATTAGCAACTTATATAAATTTAAATTTTATTAACATCTTTTTAAAAAAATTTAGTGCTCATAACATAATATTTTTTGGAAAATGATTCTGGATATTTTTAACATATCAACAATCAATTTTCGTTTGATCAAATCTTATTTATTTTTAAAGTGTTATTTATTTGTAATTTCTTATATTAAACTATATTTCACAGTATAATTAATTCCCTTATTTGCTAAAATAATAACTATTTTAATTACTGGTAACATTATTATATTATACGTATATTATAATATATCCATATTATATATGCATTTATGGGTTACATTATTTGTTATAAAAAAGGATCAAATCTTTTTCTATAAACATTCGAATGTACAATAATATAATTTATTTATATGCTTACTAACTTCTTAGCACCACCTGAAATAACAGTTGAAAAATCATGGGTACATGCAGCTGAAGGTTATGATGTAGAACTTGTTTGTGTAGTCCATGGAGACGTTAACTCTGAGGTAAAAAATTTTAAATTACGTGATATACATGTCTAACCTTTTTTCCATTCAGATGCTTTGGTATCAAAATTCATTTTTGTTAGATCCTACTGATAGACGGTCCATGTATCCAAGAGATGACAGATACAGTTTAGTAATAAGAAACTTTCAGCCATCTGATTTTGGAAATTATAGCTGTGTTGCTGACAATGCTTTGGGTAGGACCAAAAAGTATATTGAAGTATCAGGAAGACCAGGCCCAGCTGATTTTATATCACCTGCTCTTAGTGGTTATTTGGATCATTACAATCTAACATGGACTATCGAATCAATTCCACCTTTGGAAGAAATCAAACTACTATACAGACGACTTTTGGTAACTATTTGTTTATATGATAATTTTTCTTTAAATACATATCACATATTTCATTAAAGATGAATGAAACCTATCAGCATCCAGGAAAATGGCATGATTTTCATATTAAACCTACACCAATCCGTATTGATGCCACTCACTTTATAATGTCACACGTTATACGTAATTTGGAGCATAATGCAGTATACGAAGTGATTGTACAAGTCAAAAATAAATATGGCTGGAATGAAGTAAGTGTTAAATTATAATAGACAGAAATAAGAGCATCATTCCAATTTTAATGGATCTTAGTAGAGTCAGCTATTATGAGCAACTTCTTTTGCTGCACTACATGCCAATATAGTTTACTACTTAAGATATCAAGGTTCAAATTCGTATATATTGCATATTGATTGCGATAACACAAAGTGTTATCATTACATTATTGTGCAACATTAGTTACACAGATGATGGATGACATCTTTACAGCCCGATATATCGAAAACTATCTTAGTTTTACATATAGAGCTGTGGAAGAAGTTGCTCTAAAAAGACGTCTTTATTAAAATCCGTAGTCAAATAAGCGTTCCTTGAAACGAAGGAATGGAAATAGACTTATAAATAATATTTTTCTCTTACTCTCTAGATAAGCGATATCCACCAGTTTTATACGAGAAATCATGATTTACTTCTGGACTTAGACATGGAATATAAAATGGCAAATGGAGCAAATAGCATATTGACAGATTTATCATTACTTTTTACCATTTGTATTTTTTTAATTTAAATTTTTATGTTATTCTTTTTGAATTTGTAAAATGTGCCTTATACCTTAAATATTTATAACCTTCATTGTTTATTTAATTTTATTTTAAAACAGATTTTAGTGCGTTTTACCATATTTTTAATCTATAGAATTGAACCTTAGAGGGTTTTATTCATAAAATTCTTTTTAATGCCATGCATATTTAAATCGAAGTTCATTTTTATTGCAGAATTAATTTTCAATCTTATTTTGTACTAAAATGAAAATATTTTGTACTAAAATGAAAAACTTTTTGTGTTCATTTGTGAACCACCAAAGAAATGAAACCGCCATTTGCTTTAGAACACATCAAGAAGTTAGTGTAAATATTGTATTGTTAATAAGTAGTCCAATAAAATCTAATGGGTGGCTGGGTGGCGAGCAGTTTAAAGGCGCGGCTTAAAGAGATATTGTTTTACTAAAAAATAGGTGATTCATAATTCGAGTGTACGAGTATTTACCAAATAAGACTTTTAAAATAAGCGAATAAAAATATAAAAGAAAAATTAAACACGTTCTAAATGACAGTAGAGTAGCGAATTGATAGAGGAATAAAAGAAAAATTTAAAAGCTTTTACTTGTGTAACCGATGTTTTAAGTTTTCATAACTTAACTGTAGAGCAAAACTATACATATTGTTTGTTTGTCTATGTTAGATGCATTATAATAATTTAATTAGCAATTTTTATTTTTTTCTTCAATGTTGAAATATTTTAAATTAATTTATTTTATTGTACATACTTTATTTTTTGTTGAATTGAATTGAATTGAATTCAATTCAAGTTGATTTTAAAATGTATATTATTTTTACAATACTTAAGGTATAATCAGTATAAATGTCTACAAATTGATAATCAATGTATCTGCCGACTGATACAGAAATTGTATCCGTATTTATATGTATATATTATTTATATGTATGTATTATTTATATGTATGCATTATTTATTATATATTATGAATTTGTTATTAACATTATGTTAGAAATTCAGTCTTGTTAAGATATATTACTGCCCCGTGTGCACCTATTAAGATTTAATTTGTAAAATAGACAAGTAGAAAAATAAAATTAATATAAATAATAGTTTGGTAGTCACTACTATCAAAGTAATTATTTTATAAAAAGTAAAATAATAAATTATTATTAATTATGTGTGTAAAAATAAATATAAGAATTAGAACAGTATTGATAATTTATAATGGTATAATTTAATAAAGTAATAACCACATATAGATTAATAGTTAAAAGTAATTAGTGAAGTTATATAAATAAGTAATATTATTAATTATATTATAAGAAAACATAATAAGAGCTCTTAGCTAGTCTTAGTAGAAATCAACCCAAAACAAACTAAATGACAAAACTGTTTTTGGTTAATTTATAATAATTAAATTAATTGTTGAAAGAAACTAAATTTAGTAAAATTAATAATTAAACAATAAAACATTGGGTATTTTACTAACGACAATTCGAATAATTTTACCGAAGTAAAATAACTATAAACGAAATGTCAAATTCAAAGAGATTAATACTTAAACAAATGTATATATGTAATATTTTAAAAGTTTGTTTGCGCAATATTACATATTTAAAAAAGATTGCAATACGCACCACAAAACATAAATATCACGGCTTAATTAAATTGAACATTGCAAACAAGAAATTAAACAGTTCGGGGTAATAATTTTCGAATACCCTGAGCTAAACTAATATGAATATTATATAGTAGCTATATTTAATATATTCCCCACAAAAACTTTGTACATAGAACGTTTTTAAAAATTTAAGAGAATATTACACACAATTACAGTCAATAGAAATAAACGCAAATTCGCATTATCATGAATAAAAATAATAATAATAATAATAATAATAATAAATAATATACAATTATTTTCTTCCAAAACCAATTAATACAAATCATAAAAAATTTATAAATAAAATTTATTATTGCTAAGGTAAAATTAATATGTAACAAAAAAAAATATTACTTAGCTGCAGAGTCATTGTGTGAATAATAAAAAATTCCAAACTACCTAATTTCACACTAAAAAATAAAAATGTGTTTATTATTTTCTTCTATTATATCATGACAAAATTATTTTATACTGAATATTTAATATATATTCCCTTATAATAAATTAATTAGAATTAACAAAAATTTTCTTTAGTTTTCTGTTCACTATATTCAGACGACATTAATATATTCATATTTGCCATAAATATTCTGCAGTATCCTAAACTAGTAATAAATTTTATAAAAAATTAACGAATTAATATGTATTAAAAATAAGTAATATTACGAGTATACAATTTTAAATATTTTTAAACGAAAATACAATTTTAAAATTAATTTTAATAAATTAAATTACTTACAAGTACTAGTAAAATGAATTATAGACGTAAATTATTGTATTGTGTTAATATTAAGAAATTATATTATTATGTAAAAATGAAATAAATATCGTCATATCAAAATTTAAATTTTTTAATAAAATGCTTAAAAGCAAATTCCGTTATTATTTTGGAGATTGTCCAACTATTCTGTGTATACCTACATACAACTTTTCCTTTACATACAGTGTTGTGCATAACAAAAGCAACCAAAATTTGCCCATCAAATAAATAAGTTTTTTGTCGACTTTTTACTTTTCATTCCAAAACTTAAATACAGAGTTTTATTTGTTATTGTATAAGCTATTATAAAAAAACAACAAAATCTACAATTCTAAATAACGGGTTAAATAATTCACAAAAATAATGAGATATTGCGAAATGCGGCTGTGCAGAACAATAGCAACTTTATTTATTATATTAAATTTTTGTATTATTTTTGTAAATTTTGTATAAAGCCCTTTGCTTTTTATTACTTGGGCACTTCTACGGGTCATAGGTGATATTAAATTGTTAATAAAACTATTTGGAATTTTATATCATTCAACTTTCATGACCTCAAACATTTGGAAACTTTTCGACCCCCAAAGCGACGTTTGAGAATACCAAAATGTTCTCAATTGAATTAAAATCAGGTGTTTGGGCTGGCTAATCTAAAATTGGAATTCCATTTTTCAAAATCCATTCTCTTATCAGCTTTAAGGTGTGTTTTGGGTTGTTATCGTACTGATATACCCGTCGGAGTGACATTTCTCATCCGCCATGGGGTACCATATGGCTTTCTAAAATTTTTTTGTACACATGTTGGGCTATTATTTGATGAATTTTATGAAAAGATCTTAGTCTAAATCCTGAAAAGAACGCTCAAATTATTACTGACCCACGCCCATGCATCACAGTCGCTTGGCAGTTACGCAAATACAAACGTTTTTCTTTTTCGCGACGCACTGTGCACATCCCATCAGAATTAAAGATGTTAAATTTTGATTTATTGCTGAAAAAAATTATTTTCCATTTAGTAAGAGTCTAATTTAAGTGATTCCATGCGAAATTTGATCTAAATGAAGTATATTAATATTAATTAAAAAGAAAAACAAAAATCTACCTCTTTTGCTAATGCTTTTTAGTCAACATTGGTTTTTTGACTGGTCTGTAACTTTTGAAACCGGCTTCGAGAGTAAGCCTGCGTACAGTACTAGAGTCAACACCTTGTTTAAGCTCGGCTACGACCTTTTTCAACGACACGAATGGTTGTTTTTTTTGTAATTCTTATGATGTTTCGATCAATTCTACAAGTAATCTTAAGAGAGGCTTCACCCAAATAAACAGTTTTAACGGTATTTTGTCAAATTATATTTTTTTATAAGCTGCGAAACAATAAACTAATTAATTTTAAATATTTTGGGTATTTCATTTGAGCACTGCCATTTAAATATTTTTCAATTCTTGCTTCTTTAAACTTCAAAGTATACGTGTCACGAGCCATGATAAAAACGTACTTCCATTACCTGATTTAATATTGAACTATTCTGTGTTTATGTTCTAATTTGCTTAAAAACATAAATCACAACATAAAAATGCAAAAAATCAAAAAAATATCTTGCTAGAATGCACTTTGGTCATAGATCTATCATTGATCTTGTCTCAGTTGCTATTGTTTTGCACAGCCGCATTTCGCAATATTTTATTATTTGTGTGAATTAATTAACACGTTATGAAGAATTGTAGATTTTGTTGTTTTTTTATAATAGCTAATACAATAACAAATAAAACTGTGTATTTAGATTTTTGAATGAAAAGTAAAAAGTAGACAAAAAACTTATTTATTTGATGGGCAAATTTTGGTTGCTTTTGTTATGCACAACACTGTATATCAACTGTAAATATTAGAACGTGGAAGAAATCTAAGCTACTGGATAGATACTCACATCTCCTTAATATATCTAATATAGGAATGCTGCAACAAAGCAAAACAAATATTTTATTAAATATATTACATTTTTCTCTTTCCTATTTGGCATTACAGTCCAGTGTGAGCCACCCTAAGGCCAACGTTCACACTGTTCACTATATAAAAAAACTAAAAATGTCTAGCCTTAATTAAATGTAAAATTGTATTCATAAAATCACTATTCTGATAAAAAGTTTTTTGCCAACAGACTACAAGGCTTTAAGCAAAGAGAATTTATTTGATATTATGAGATTTGAATTATTTATAAACGTCTTTGAAAGACAGCTTCCGAATAACTGGGATCATCCAATTACTACACAGTCTTGTGAGAGCTTGGCAGAAGTCTGCTCGGGTCAATGTTTTCTTCTTCGCAATTTTATGAATTTTATAAATAAAATTACTTCCCCTACCTCCCCTTAATGGCCAGATCTTGTTTCGTTGAATATACAAAAACCACCCAATAGATAAGAGACTACTCGAGATATGCAAAAATACTTTACATAATTAATTATTTGAAATTTACAAGTCCTAATTGACAAGTCCTGAGAACTGTTTCTGTAAATAATAAATAGAAACTTATAAAGAGGCGACAATATTCTCTAGATGTACCATCTTCAAAATCTAAACCCAAAAAAGTTAAATTTCTTAGTAACTTTACTTAGGGTTTCTCTTTTACGAAACACTAA